TTGTAGACCCAAAATCTCTGTCTTCCTTCATTTGAAGGTGGTCTTTAACTCAGTCGACCGCTCCACCATCATTCCAATCTTCATTCTGCTCCAAATAGGCGGCCAAAAGATAACGACCAAAACTGGCGCACGAAAGTGCATAGTTATTGATTGTAGAAATGCAACCGATATTTTAATGAGACAATGATGGACTGGTAATAATGCTCAATAATTTCGTTGCGGTAGAAAATACCATCGGTGCTTATGTGATGCGAGTATTGCGAACAGCTGAGGCATGCCCAGGATGAATATCAGTACCTTCGCCACATCTAGCACACACACACACACACTACTACTACTACTACTTCAAAAACATCTACACACTGGCATTTGTAATCCGATCGCAGACAGCTGATTCCCACTTAGCATTTAATTAGTTGGAACATGCGGAGAAATCCAAATGGCGAAAAAGAACACAATCTGGAAACTAAAAGAACACAACCCCTTTTGCAGGGCTTTGTGACATTGGGTTAAAATTTAGATTGACAGATATTTCAGTCATCACACAGGGTCAATATCACCTTTTGTTATAAAAACAAGCAGTGACGTTCAACGGAACCTACCTTTAACTGGTTCCAGAGTTTCCGCAGCTGGTACGCTTTCGTGATATATAAAATCATTGTCTTTAATCAATCGTGGTAATCTGTAATAAACAACAACAACAAAGAAGAGAGAAAAGTGGATACGCATGACAGCATTCAATTATGTTGGTTTTGAAACAAAATCAAGGGAAAAAAAACAATCAGGTTAGGCCAGTGTGTATGCCAGTGTGCTATGACACACATCACAGGATAAAACCGGGAGAACCCTTGATAGTGCAAACAGCAAACGGCCACCGAATAAATTCACATCATAAGTGACGCATCGATTACGACGGACATGAAGTGTTTCAAATATGTGTACGATCATAGAGGTTTTTGCATACATACAGTACAATAATAATAATAATAATGATAGTAATAATAATAACAAACTCAAATCATATGAGAAAGAGGACAAACATCATTATAGGACAAATTGAATACCACTGTTTCGTCTCATCGCAGAGGAGTACGAACATTCATGTGACAGCATGCTCAGAACAAATCTGGAGACAGCAAAAACAGTGAACTAGGCAAAATCAATACGAAGGTCAAAGGTCACGAGTTGGATAGAGTAGAAGACACGTACTGACCGGGTTCTACGATGGCCAGACCAGGCTAACAACAGTCTAGTGGCTCACAAAATTCTGGGATTGTTTCGTACATTGAATTGTATCAAACCGTAACAGCCACATACTTTTCCTCGTTTAGCTTAGCACTCGCTCGGGTTGTTATAGCTTGGTATAAACGGTACTCTAGAAATGTCGTTTGTTATCACGGGCATATAAAGTGCGCTTATTGTAATTGGTTAGCACGGAAAACGACCGCGCAAAACAGATGGAACTGGCTTACTTGAATCTAACCGCTTCGGCCACAAATTGAACGTTGGTGCGCAACGGTCCGCCGTGGACATGTGGGGCGTTTGTCGTTTCACTCTCTTTCAAATCTTTTACCAATTTCTCAGCCTCTGTGATCCGTTTCTCGGCCAGTTGGAACCATGCGATCGATTTGCCATACTTTTGCTCACTTTCCTCATTTAGACCGGTGAAATAGGCCACCAATGCGGCATAATAGCTACGCTTAGTTTGACACCGGCAACTCCAGTCCTGTGTTCCGGGAAAGGAAAGGGGCGGAAAGGAAGATGCAAAACGATAGACCACGCGATTTCATCAAAAAAATGGTCAACAAAGAAGTGTTGAATCTATCTATCTGTCAACGGGAACGAGGAATAGGTCGTGAATTTTGTCGTAGACAGTTTCAGTTTAAACAAGCATTTGGCATGCATTTCCGTGCGAAGTTTTTTGTTGCTGACTATTGGTTACCCATTTGGGTGAACAATAGAAGGAAAACAGGAAGGTTCAAGATAGAATAAGAGAAAATTGAAAAGTTCAGTGGACCAATGATACAGATAAACTGAGAAGATGCACGAACGCCACTGTTTCGACACCAAGTCATATCACTCAGTGTAGCTAACCATCGGGTACGACCATCCCGAGATCCCTATCCGGGGAGCCTAACGGGACCCGTGCCCCGGTCTCCTGGTTAGGGTTTTCACACCCTCATTCCAGGTCTGACCATGATCATCCTGGGCTGTATTCCGCCAATTACCTGCCTCGACGAACATCACGTGCCGTGGTAACCTACCGGGTGACATGGGTGACACATGCACCAATCAACGTATTACATGGAGGTCGACCACTTGCTCCTGTGAGCGACCACGGTTGCCTAAAGTTTTTCGCCTCACCTCAGCATTGCTCATCCAGCTGCCCCACCAGATTCGCGCAATGCTGCGTAGACAGCCGTGTTCAAACACCGACAGTCTCTCCTTATCCTATTCTCTTAATGACCAAGTTTCCGCACCGTATAGCAGGACTGGCCGAACTGGCGCCACATACACTCCACCCTTCACAGACAGCCGGATGTCGCGACGACGCCACAGATGTCTCAAGG